AACATCCAACAAACACGGCGAACATGAGGGTACCCTCCCCGAACCGACCTCGACCTTCTACCTAGGTCCGACTGTTCAGCGGCGAGCCCTGGGGGGGAAGTGACAGGGGGCGGGCCTTCCTAGAAGGCTCGGAAGTCCCCCGGCCTTCTGAAAAGTCTTCTGAGCCTCACCCGAAGACACAGAAAACACTCTTCGGAAGGCGCGAGGGCCTCTGAGAAGCCCCGCCACCCCCTGAGAAGGTCTCCTCCCTCTCACTGATTCCCCCCCTCGCTCACCGCCGAACCGCACCTCCAGGGGCCTCCGACACGAACGACGCGGCAGGAGGCGGAAGGGGAGCGAGGAGACGACCGCGACGAGGGCCCGCGGACCGCGCCCGGGAGCCTCGCCCCTCCGCTCGGGGCCGGCGGCGGCCCCCTCCTCCTCTGCCTCCGGGCCGCCGCCCGCTTCGGCCTCGCCCGGGGGGCGGGCGGGCGGCACAAAGTCGCCGGTCGAGAATGAAGCACGCCGACGTCGGAAAATACAAGCTGTCGATGCTGGACTTCGACGGACCCGAGAAGAGGCAACACCTCGGCGTCGAAGGATCCAGGACTTCGATGTCAGAGTCCTCCCCTGCCCCCAAAACCCCCCATGCCCCTGCCTCCTCCTCCTCCTCCTCCTCCTCCTCCCCCTCCTCCTCCTCCCCCTCCTCCTCCTCCACAATTACTCAATATGAATATTACGCTCCCTCTTCCCCTGATGGCGTGCTGGGAGTAGTAGACCCCCCCCCCCGCGTACTGTTTTTAACACACAGGATTCCCGGGAGTTGGGTTTTCGCCTGCGTTGTTTTCAAAATGCTGCTCTCGCTGAGGCGCCGGCCTCATTTCTGCTCCCGAATCGTTCCGAATCGTGCTCCCGCTGCAGCGTGCGCCTCATTTTCGGATCGGTGTTTTGCCTCCGCCGTTCAGGATGGCGTTCTCGCCCCAGCGCGGGCCTCTTTCTCGCGCGCCCATCCGCCCGCCACCACCGCGCCGCACCACGCCCCGCCCCGCCGCACGCACACCCACCGCCACTTCCACCCACCAACGCACGCACGCACGCACGCGCACCACCACCGCGCACCGCCACCACCACCGCACTACCCCACCCACCACCACCACGCTACACCGCGTCACACCACATCACACGCGCGCACACACGCACGCACGCACGCACGCACGCACGCACGCACGCACGCACACACACACACACGCACACACACACACACACACACACACGCACACACACACACACACACACACACACACCACCACCGCCACCACCACCACCGCCATCACGCACGTACGCACCTGGCCCACCACCAAACCACCAAGACGCCACACCACGTCACACCACAGCACACGCGCACACACGCACACACACACACACACACACACACACACACACACACACATACACACCACCACCACAACAACCACAACCACGCACACACGCACGCACGCACGCGCACCACCACCCACTACGCACACGCGCGCGGAGCCACAGGTCCGCTACGACACGCGTCCGCGGATAGAGAAAATCAGCGCCATGGTAAGGGATGGGAGGGAGGGGTAGGATGTCAGATGTTGACGCGAGCGCACCTAACTTGTCCTCCTCCCCCTCCTCCTCCCCCTCCTCCCCCCCCTCCTCCTTCTTCGCCCCCTCCCGCTGCCCCCATCTCCACGAGAGAGGCCCCGGCGCAGGGCCTCCGAGACGCGCGCGACTCTCTCCCCCCAGAGGAGTGCGGGCCGCGCGGCCGGGCACTCCCCCTGGGGCTCCCTGTGTCTGAGCATGTCCCAGGGCTCCTCCTCCTCCTCCTCCTCCTCCTCCTCCTCCTCCTCCTCCTCCTCCTCCTAGGCTCCCTGCGTCAAAGCGATGCTTTACCAGCCTCGAACGTATCCCCATCCCTAAGATTGACACGCCAGAAGGCGATGACCATCTTAGGGATTCGCCCTCAAAAGATAAGGGAATCCCTAAGAGTGGCATCGTGATGAGGAGATGCCCAGCATAGGGATAGGGATATGTTCTAGGCTGGTAAATGCTGGAAGCCCTCTGAAGGCCTATCAGGAGGAAGGTCCTCTCCTCTCTCCCTGAGGAAAACCGACGAGTACCGACGTCACTGCTCCACGGACCTCTCCTGGGGTGCGTTCCGGCCGCGAGCCAAGAGGCGAATCCTGCCGCGGCGACGAGGGCCTCCCAGGAGGCCGCACAAGGGGACACCGGGCGAAGGGCAGCGGTATGGGTACCGTTTCCTCCTCCGACTCCCCTCCTCTCCCCCACTGAGCTGGCAAGCCCCGTGCCCTCCGCGAGCGCCGCCCGAAGCCTGTTGGGAAGGGCCTTCCCGCGGCCGCTGCCGCCCCCCTCAGCCCACGGTGCCTCTCCGCTCTCCTTCTTGGGACCTGGGCCTCTGGATCCGGGCTCAGTGCGCACTCCGTGCTCCGTGCTCCCCTCCTACCCCTCCGGCGATGGGACGCAAAAGGACAAACTGCAAGCCTCGTCAAAAATAAACAGAAGACTTCTGAATTCGGTGATTGTGGGGTCAGCGCTACTCCAGTGCTGACGGGTTCCTGTTGATTCGGACGCGGTGTTGTCCAAAAACCGGCCGCACCCTCTCAGAATTGAAGAACGCGTTTTCTGACAAGTGCCCCAGGATTTCAACTTTCATTTATGGATATGTTTGACGAGGCTTGTAGTACTGTGTGTCCTCGTTGGGGGCTTGCGCCCGACCCGAGCATCTGATACGCCCATCTTGTGGTAGACCGTCTCCCGAGCGGTACGGCCAAAGAGCGCCCGCCACGGAGAGTTGTGGTGCGATCCAGTTGGTGCGGCACGTGTGGTGCGGCATATGATCTGCAATATGTGCCGGGCGATATGTGTGGTGCAACCCATGTGGTACGACATATGTGGAGCCACCTAGGTTGTGCAATCTATGCTATACAAGATATGGTGTGCAATAGATGTGGTGCAATCGCGCGTGGTGCAATCTACGTGGTGCAATCGATATTGCCCAGTAAATGTGGTGCAGGTTTATGAGGTGCAATCTGTGTGGGGAAATAGACGTCGTGCGATCTAGCAATGCAGAGCAAACCAACCTAACCTAAAACAACGCAAAGCAACGCAGAGCAATGCAAATCAATGCCAAACAATGGCAAGCAAGGCAAAGCAATGCCAAGCGCGGCATGGCAATGGAAGCAATGAAAAACAACGCAAAGCAATGCCAAACAATGCAAAGCAATGCTTTGCAACGCAATGCGAAGCAAGGCGAAGCAGTGCACATCAATGCAAAGTGCAAGGCAAAGAAAAGAAAGCAACGTAAATCAATGGAATGCAATGGAAAGCCACCCGAAGCAGCGCAACGTAGCGCAGTCCCAGACGGCGACGGGGCGGCGACGGCGACCACATAGCCGCCAGACCGACGGGCAGGCCCAAGGCGGCGAGGCGGCGACGAAGTGGCGACGGGGCGGCGACGGCCGCCACGTAGCCGCCAGACCGACGGGCAGTCCCAAAGACGGGCGGCGACGGGGCGGCGACGGTGACCACAGATCCGCGTCGTCGGACTGACGGGCAGGCCCAGTCCTTTCGAAAAAAAGAGAAGCCCTGAGGTCAACCACTGTGTGTGGGGGAAATAAATCCCAATCTCTCCTCCATCTTGCTTGCTGCATGCTCCCTGATGCTTGGTCCGAGATGTCCTTCAAAGGAGCGCACGATTCCCGTGCCAGACGGGATGCACGATGATCGAGAGCAGAGCAAGAAGAGGAAAGAAAGCCGCCTCCGGGTCTTCTCGCCTCTCCGCCGCAGCCTCGCCTGCTTCCTCTTCCTCCTCCTCCTCCTCAACCTCCTCCTCCTCGTCCTCGTCCTCGTCCTCCTCGTCCTCCTCCTCGTCTCGCGCAGGCTCCAAGGTCTCCTCGTGGGACCAAGTCCTGGCGCCCGGGACCGAGGATGCGGCACGCAGTGGGGCAGAAGCGCGGGCCAGGGCTCCTCGGGCGGCCTTCGGCGGTCTGGGGCAAAAAAAGGTACCCCTAACCCGATGGGAAGGAACCTAAGTTGGGAGGGCCAAAAACATTAGGCATAGGGGGTATTTTTGCACATGTATCAGACCAAGCCGCCCAGATATATTATCCCTGATGCGACAACGGAAACCTAAGTGAGGCCACGTGTACATCGTGTTATTAGGGTTAGGGGTTATTTCGTTCTCTATGACACCAGGGTCCAAAATCCGATTAGAGGCGGGCACGACCTCGTCAGCGCGCCCCCCGAGGCCACCTGAGCCTCTGAAGGGCCCCAATGACGGTTCAAAAGAGGGCCCAAACAGAGCGCCAAGACAGTGCAAGAGAGCGTCGAGTCGGCCTAAGGTAGCCCTACAACGGTCAAAGATTGCTTCGAGACGGCCCACAAGCCCCCCGAGACGGCCCAAAAGTGCTTCCAGCTTACCGCCGAGACGATCCCAAGACGCAAAAATCGTCCCAGTCCCTAGAGAATACGTGCACATTTGGCATACTCGCCCTTTTCGTCTTGGCAGCGTCCAAGACGGCCAAATGGGCCCCCAAGATCGTCCCAACACGGGCCATGAGGCCCCTGAGAAAGCCCCAAGACGGCCTCAGGGGCCCCCCAAGACGGCCTAGAGAGGCCCACGAGGGCAGAGTGGCCCAAGAGGTCGAATACGAATCAGCACGTCAAGCCGTTCCCCCCAAGATGGCCCCAAGAGGTCTTCAAGAGGCCCCCAAGAAGCCCCCAAGAGCCTCCCAATAAGTCCCCAAAAGCCCCCAGATGCAACGAAGAGCCCTCCAAGATGCACCTGAGAAGCATCCCAAGAGCCCCTCTAATATCCCCATATGCATCCACCATGCTCCTAACATATCAAACAACTTCCGCGATCACCGCAAGCTCTCACTCCTTCTGGGGGTCGGCGGAATGGCGTAAGCCACTTGAATAATCGGCCCCACTTCTCTGCGGCATCTCTTGAAACCGGATCGACCTGCGATGGCCTGGGGGAAGGGGGAACGATGAGGGTGGACGGCTCATAGGGGTAAAAATCCACCTGGAAGCGGCGATACATCGCCAATAAAGCAGCGATGGGCACCCAGCAGCACTTCACGAACGTTCCAGGGCGGGGTGGGCTTCGAGGCCCCATATCGGCGACCAAATGCCTATCCTCCCATGCCGTTGCCCCTGAAAGCAGCCAAAAACTAACGAAGGCGCCCGCTACAAAAAAAATACTCTGGACACTGAGCGCCTCCCCCTTGGATCCGCGGTGGGGCAGGCCACGTGCTGTCGGAAGGGGTGGAGGGGGGGGTGGGGGAAGAGGAACAGGAGGAGTAGGAGGAGGAGGAGGAGGAGGAGGAGGAGGAGGGAGAGAGGGGAAGGAGAGGGGATGGAGAGGGAGGGGACGATGGGCAAGCTCCGTCGGAAGGTCAATCACCACCACTTGCACGTTGATCCGCGGCGTTCAAGGCCCAGGAGTGGTGTTATGGCAAGATGTGTGATGGTCGGGGCGCAGCAGTCACGTTGATTTGCGGCTTCTCAGACGGATGTTCTTCAGTGGGCGATGCCCCGCAATGAGAATGCACTCTTGCAGGAACCCGTGGAGAAGGAACTTGGAGGGAGGCTTTCTGGAACATCCCTGCTGCGTCGTGGGTTCGCATTTGGTCGGTTTCCCCCTCCTCCTCCTCCTGCTCCTCCTCCTCCTCCTCCTCCTCCTCCTCCTCCTCCTCCTCCTCCTCTTCCTCGTCTTTCTCCTCCCCCTTTGCCTTATAAATAGCCCCTCCCTGTCGAATCCCCAAGCGTGTCGGTAGGGCGAGGGCTGGGCGCTTCACCCGGGAACTCTTCACCACCTACCACCATGGAGCTTGACACTCGCAAGAACTACAACGATAGTGGGCGGGTCGTCTTCAAAGCACCGTGGAGGTCAGTCCACAATAACCTTCCACAAGAAACCCAACCCTGAGACCCCAGGACGTCCATTGATGTTTGGTGTGGGAGCGTCGCGCTTCCCACAGCGAAACCATCGAAACCCAAGAAACCCAGGGCACCTTGGAGGCAAGCAGGGTGTTTCTTGGCATGGGTCTCCACTATTAAGCTCTCAAGCTAGCGCCGCGCACATTCGTTTTCAAGCATTGCAACAGATCCGAAGATGGAGGGCAAGTGGGTTTCACAGTGTAGCTCTCGCGGCAACGCAGCGCACATTCGCCCTGAAAGGTTGCAACGGCTTCCTCCTCCTCCTCCTCCTCCTCCTTTTCCTCCTCCTCATCTTGCTCGTCCTCCTCCTCCTCCTCCTCCTCCTCCTCCTCCTCCGCCTCCTCCTCCACCTCTTCCTCCTCCCACTTCTCCTCCTCCTCCTCCTCCTCCTCCTCCTCCCTCCTCCTCCTCCTCCTCCGCCCCCACCTCCTCAAAGACAGCATGGTGATAACAACCAGTGGCATCATCGTCATTATCAGCGTCGTCGTCATCTGGATCATCCCCATCAGCAGCATCATAATCAGCAGCAGCACCATCAGCATCACCATCAGCATAAGCATCAGCATCAGCATCAGCATCATCGACGACAACAACAACAGTAACAACAAGAATAAAACAACAACATCATCATCAGCATCATCATCAGCATCATCAGCATCACCATCATCGGCATCACCAGCACCATCATCATCATCAACAACAGCAACAACAACAACAACAACAACAATCATTTTAAGACTGTTCGCCCTTATCTGCTCGAGTGTCCAACAACGCCTATTTCCCAAACCCTCGATACCCGCCCTCTTCGTCTTCGATCGAACCCCTTTTTGGGGGGTATACCTTTCTTCCCTGCAGGCCGGGCCACGGCAAGCGGCGGGGCGGCCGCGGACCGTCGGCCTGGCCAGCGGCAGCGCTGATCGGCGGGGCGGCCGCGGACCGTCGACCCGACCCCAAGAGGGACGGACAGGGGACCGACGACGACGACGACGACGACGACGACGACGACGTCGAAGACGACGGCGACGACGACGACGACGGCGACGACAAGCGAAAGCGAGAGCGAGAGAACGACACAGGGCCACGAAGGGCACGAAGTAGGCCACGAAAGGCGACAGCGGGGACACGAAGGGAATGCGTATGGGGCCACGAAGAGCGCGAACGAGCGGGGGCCACGAAGTGCAGATAATGCGGGGCCACAGAAGGCAACTATGGGGCCACTGATGGTAGCAACTGGGCCACGTAGGACAGTGAGGGGGACATAAATGGCGACAGCGGGGCCACGAAGGGCATGCACATTGGGTCACAATGGGCGCGACTCCTGGGTGCCTGGGTGTCGGGAGCGCGGCGCTTGGGCAAATTGTAAGAAATTCCAACGCAAGGCCATTCTTCAGTAAGTTGCAGTCAAGTCTCCAGCGAGAGCGCGACTCCAGAGCGCCGGGAGAACGATTCCTGAATAAATTGTAAGGAAGTCCCAAGCGAGAACGCGTTTCCTGAATAAAATGCGAGGAAATCTCGGGCGGGAGCGGGGGTCCTGGCTAAATTGTAAGGATGTCTCAAGCGGGAGCCGTTGTTGTTGTAACCCGGGGGCCAGGGGGCCAGTTTGAGCAGGAAGACTTTCCGAGTCAAAAAGCAGGGTGCGAGCGTCGAGGGGTACACTTTGATTGAGAAAAAACAGCATGCACCGGTGAGGGGGGATCAACAATAATTATTCTTCAGAAATGAGAATTCAACGACGACGACGACGACAACAACAACAGCAGCAACAACAACAGCAGCAGCAACAGCAGCAACAACAACAACAACAACAGCAAAAACAACAACAACAACAACAACAACAACAACAACAACAACAACAACAACAACAACAACAACAACAACAACAACATCATCGTCATTGTCGTCGTCGTCAGCAGCAGCAGCGGTGGTGTCGCCGTCAAAACCATCATCTGCATCAAACTCCTAATCACCACCACCACCATGATCATCATCATCATCATAATCAGCATCATAATCATCATCATCATCATCATCATCATCTTCAGCAACAGTCTCATCATCATGACCAACACTATCATCAGCATCATCATCATCATCGTCATCGTCCGCATCATCATCATCAGCAGCAGCATCATCAGCATCATCGGCATCTCCACATCACCACTTCCACCATCACCATCACCATCACCACCACCATCACCACCACCATCATCTTCATGATCAACATCATCATCATCATGACCATCATTATCATTATGATCAGCATCGTCATTGACATCGCCATCGTCATTGTCATTGACCTCACTTTCATCACTAGTCCCCTGCACTCGCAGTAGCAGCATCATCCTCGCTCTTCGTGCCTCGCTCCTCGCTCCTCGCGCAGTGCGAGCGCCGGCGTCACTTGGTGTGAGAACGGAACGGATGTAACAGGCGTGGAGAAAGGGGGATGCAATCGGAGGAAGTGTACTGCAGGCGATCGTGGCTGTGTTCTCGGCGCACTTGGCCTTCTCGCTCCTCGCTCCTCGCTCTTCCCCGCTCCTGACGTCCAGCAGGTGCACTGCGCCCGAATCCTCGGCCACCAACACGGAGGTGCTCCAGCCTGCCACGGCAACCTGAGTGGCACGGAGAGGCTGGAGGGCACCCGGATCTCTGAGACCGCCCCCTCCAACACGGCCAGGCACCCTCCAGACACAAGCAGGTAGGATGAGGGAGAGGAAAATACTCTTATTTGACACCAACACCAACGCGCTATAAAAAGTAGCCCGGCGAGTCCCCGTCAAACTCGGCGGCAGGGAGGACAGGAGAACCTTCCTCCTCCTCACTACAGAAGGCCAGTGAGACCCTCGGTTCCGACAAGAAGAGGTCAGCATCGGCAGCCTCCTCGTCAAGATCTCGGAGAGAGCGCGTTTCACGGGCGCTTGCCTTGGGAACATCCGGCAGCGCGTTTCGAAACGGGAGGTGGGCCCCCCCCCAAACACTCGGCGCCGTCGATCAAAACCAGAGGCACTCCCCTCCCCCCCAAAACCCCCCCCCTCCCGAACCCCCCCCCGCCCTCGGCGCCGGCGCCAGCGCTGGCGCTGCCGACAGCGGGGACGCAGCGACGAGATGACCAGAGGCAGCCTAAGGGGAGTGGGGTGGGGGGGGGTTGAACCCCCCCCTCCTGGCGGCGCTGGCGGCGGCCAGCAGCGCCGGCGCTGGCGCCAGCGACGGCGGGGACGCAGCGACGATTACCACCACTACCACCACCACCACTACCACCACCACCACCGCTTCAACCCACCACCACCACCAACCCACCACACAACCACCACCACCACCACAGCCACCACCATAACCACAACCAGCACCACCACCACAACTCACCATCACCACCACCACCACCACAAAAACCCACCACCACTACCATCACCACCAGAATCTACCACACCACCACCACCACCACCGCCACAACCACCACCACTACCAGCAGCACAACCCACCACCACCACACCACACCACACCACCACCGCCACCACCACTACCACCAGCACCACCTCCACAAACCACCGTCACCACCACAACCCACCACCACCACCACCACCACAAACCACCACCACACCACCACCAAAACCACCACCACCACAACCCACCACCACCGCCACCACAACCACCACCACACCACCACCAAACCAGCACCACCACCACCACCACCACCACCACCCACCACCCACCACCACAACGAGGGGGGGGGTTCGACCCTCCCCCCTCCATCCAGGGAAGGGGGGGGGGGTCCGGTTCCAACCCCCCCCCCACTCCAAGCGACCACAGAACGCGCTCGTTCAGATCTCGGAACAGAGGGGGAGGAAGGAGAGGACAGAGAGGACGCGGAGAAGGAGCGATCCCATGACGCCCGGCCCCCTCTTACTGCATTACTGCATTTAGCTGATCACCATCGTCGAAGGAGCCGTGGCCCTGTGGGACCGGGGTCAGCGGACACCCCCCGCCTTCACCTGCGCATAGCTGCAGAGATGCCCCGAACGTAATCCAGTAATCCAGGTGGGCCAGCGTGCCGTTAGGCGATCAGCCGACCCATCTCGGAGCGGGAGACCCGCAGGATTCGACAAGATACTACGAGTGCCCACCAAAGTTGCCCTGAGCTCCCCAAGTTTCCAAAGGGGGAGGAAGACCCAGACGTGGAGAGGCGCATGAACAGATCGGTTTGACTTAGCGAGTTGCTGGCCAAATTCCCCATGGAAAGAAGAATGAAGGAGACAGAAGCCGCGGTTTGGCGCGGGTCCGTCTTGGCGCGTCTTGGGGCTCTTTGGCGGTTCTAGTGGAGCCGCTCTGGATGCCCAAGAGTGCCCAAGAGTGCCCAAGAGCGTCCCAAGAGCGCCCAAACAGCGCCCCAAGAGGCGACTGTTGGGTCTCCTGAGGGGGGGCAAGGCGAATTAAGGAACCCCCTTCTTTGATCGATGGCCTCCAAGATGGCGTTCAGAGCAGGGCGCCAAGAGAGCCCCAAGAGGGCCCCAAGAGGGCCCCAAGAAGGCCCCAAAAGCCTCCTAAATGACCCCAATATTTTGCCCCGGTAAACTGCCAAGAGCCCCCCCCATCGGAAGATCCGCGAAGGTATGTATGGTCGACTCATGGGCGTGCTCAGGCAGACCCCGATCGTCGCTTTGACAGCCGCGCCCCCTCGTTGTTCCACTGCGTGCTCGCGCACTTCCCTGATCAATGCAACTCGCCTGGGCATCGTAATTAGCTGGATGGTCTGGTAGAGAATTCCGTGAGCCGCATACTCGCCTGCATGCGTCTCGAGCCTTGCAAAATGACCACGTGTCGCCCCTAGCGAGGCTCATGGCTCAAGCTGGTCCTCGTGACGCAGAATGTCATACCTGAATGTCATCCCTCATGGACAGGAGTCTCGCGACAGGTAGGGTGGCTGGGCCAGCATGGAAGGGGTAGAATCCAGCAATTGAACCGATACTCATGGCTACGTGGTACTTGCTGTGGACCATATCGTTGAACCTTCCTACATACCCAGATCGTCTGACTATGACCCAGGCTACCGCTCGTGTGCACAGCAGCGCTCGAACGGCACCCAGCTGCGAGGTCTACTCGGCCGAAGCTGCTTCCCCCCCCACACCACCACGCCAGCCTCGACCGGCGTCCCTTTTCCTCCGCCCCTCTCCTTTACGCTCCCTGTACCTACGGACCTACGGCAGGCTGACGTCGAGATGACATTGGCGTTGCTTCTCGACACCACCTGGATCGTTCAGCCTCGAACGATCGCGGCTTGTCCACAGAGCAGATCGTCCAGAGTCCTCCGAGTCTAGGCCACTGGCGGCGCAATAATTATCCGCATCCGCTCTTGACGGTCCCGGGCCCGACAACGGCGCCAGGAGGCCGAGACGGGGCAAAAAACCCTCTCGAGCAGCCCAAAACCCTAAACCTCGCTCCCCCGCTGTGTCACCACCGACTCGCCCGAAGAAAATCGGGCTGCGCTGCAGCACGCGCGCCCTAAACAAGGATCTGCTGACCTGGGTCAGCCCAAACCCGGGTGAGTCGGGCTCTGCAGGATCCTGCTAGACCCTGCAGCATCGACGTGCGCGCCAGCCTGGGTCACTGCAACCCTGGCTCTGCAGTACCCTGCAAGACCTGGCGCTCTGGCTGACCCCCGCTCGCGTTGAACCCCCCCCCGTCTCGGGGCTCCCGACCCAGCCTGGTTGATCTCCTCCGCCGCCACGCAGGCCGCGCGGTGCGCGGGCTCCCTCAGGAGCACCCTCTCCGAGCGAAGGTCGAAGCCCAGGACGTCCAGCCCCGCGGCAGCGAACCGCGGCCCCGGCGCAGCCGCGCGGGTGTGCGGCGAGGGGGGGGCTGCGCCGCGGCGGCACGGCGCTCCGGGGGGGGGGGCCCCGGAGCGGCGTGGCGGGCCCACGCCGCGCGGCGAGCCCGTGGGGGCTCGCGGAGCCCCCGCACGGTGAGTATCTCAGGGCTCGCGGCCGCGCTCCGAGGGGGCGTCGCTCGGGATCGGGCTGCATATCATCGGCACGCAGTCAGAGTCCAATCGGATCGGCCGCGACAGAATGCGCAATACCGCTACGCGGGCGCCGGTCCACGTCGGATTGTCGGGGCATCGATGCCGCATCGGATCGACACCGGATGAACTTTTGGAATCGAAGAGGATCGACCGAGCAGAAGTACCCATCGGTCGGAAGAAGCAGGTAGGAACATGAAGTAGGAAGGCGTTGAAAAAAGATTGGGTTCCGTCCGCCCCCTAAGGAGGACGGAAAAGGTGAAGCCACTCGATCCTTGAAGCAGGAAGGCGCTTGAAGCAGATTGGCATCTATCTGAGAATCCAAAGATACCTACGTTCAACCACCGATGGGTAAGCCCTGCTCTGGGGGGGGGGACCTCCCCGTTCTGGCCTGCGCCTTGGGAGTGCCGGCTCGGGGGCATCTGGGCGGGGCCGATCCGAGGCTCGGGTGCTCCAGCGGCCGACGCTGGCGGGCGTGCAGGGCGTGCAGCGAGGTCGGCCCTCCCCGGCCCATGCCGTCCTGGCTGCGTACCCCGCCGGTGCTCCCGCGTTCCACGGCACCGAAGTCCCTCCGAGTGTTGCCCCACCCGTCGTCCGCTGGATGCCGTCCACAAAACGTCCGCCGAGTGCCCGCGCTCGGCAGGCCATCGACGGCCGCCCTGCTCCAGAACACGGCCCGAAACGGCACTCCCCTGGGCCTTCGCCTGTTGTGCAGTCTTCGGTGGCAACTCGTGGGAGCCTCCCCCACCATCTTGTGGGCTCTTGCGAACCGACGCGCATCGACGATGAATCGACGCTAATCGACGCTAAATCGACGCTAGATCGGCGCTATCTCATCGATTCCCAGACGCTAATCGACGCCAATCGACGCAAAAGACAAAATTAATGGTATACCAGGCTCCCATGATTTGCTACCGAAGCCTCCCACGTCCCCCTGCACTCTGTCCCACTGCCTACCCCCCCCGAACACACACACACACACACACACACACAGAGACACCACCGCTCCCCGTGCCAAAACCCCCCCACAGCTCCCCAGCGCGCATCCCTGTCGTTTCTGGCATGCTGCCGTCTTCCCCTGGGCCCTCTGGGATCCCCTGCTCGCGTGGGATGCCCTCTCTGGCATACACGCTCAGCGTGAGGCTGCTATCATATCGGCACGTGCAGTTTTCTGGCTTGCTATCGGACTCTGTTTGAGTGTGGTTGGAAGCTGCGAGCATCTGTGATTGAAAACTTGGCGTGGAACATATTTCACTTCCTCCTCCACTTCCACCTCCATCATCATCACCACCACCACCATAACCACCACCACCACCACCACCACCACCACCATCATCATCATCATCATCATCATCATCATCATCATCATCATCATCATCATCATCATCATCATCGTCGTCAGCAGCAGCAGCAGCAGCAGCATCAGCAACATCATCACCATGATCATCATCACATTCATCCGCATCATCATAATCGTCATCATCTTCATCAACATCAACATCACAGCAACCACCACACTTGTCATAACCATCACCACCACCACCACCACCACCATCACCATCATCATCATCATCATCATCATCATCACCATCACACTCATCAAAATCGTCGTCGTCGTTCGTAGTATCGTCATCAGCGGCAGCAGCAGCATGATCATCAGCCTGAGCATTAGCAGCATCCTCATCATACTCACCGTCATCATAATGAAACACCAGCATCATCGGCATCATCAGCATGATCATCATCATCAGCATCATCAACACAATCAGCATCAGGATCATCATCCTCATCATCGTCATCAGCATCGTCGTCTTCATTATCATCATCATCAGCATCATCAGTATCGTCATCAACATCATCATCCTCATCATCATCGTCGTCGTCGTCATCGACAGAAGCATCATCATATGCAGCAGCATCAACAGAATTATGAGTACAATCGGCAGCATCAGCATCATCAGCAGCAGCGTCATCGCCATCGTCATAATCTGCATCAGCATCAGCAGCACCATCATCAGCAGCAGTAGCATAAACATCCGCATCATCATCATCATCATCAGCAGCAGCAGCTGCAGCAACATCAACATCAGTGCCATCATCATCAGCATCATCAATATCAGCATAATCAGCATCGTCATCAGCGTCGTCGTCATCAGCATCATTATCATCATCGTCGTCATCAGCAGCAGCAGCGTCATCATTCTCATCAGCACCACCACGACCACCACCACTATCAGCATCGTCATCCTCACCATCACAATCAGAAGCAGCATCTTCAACCTCGTCATCAGCATCATCAGCATCAGAATCAGAATCATCAGCATCAGCAGCAGCAGCATCACCATCAGCATCAACACCACCATCACACTCATCATAACCATCACCACCAACACCACCATCATCAGCATCATCATCAGAAGCAGCCGCATCAGCATCATCACCCTCTCCTCATCCTCCTCATCAGCAGCAGCATCAGCATCATTATCAGCATCGTCATCATCATCATAATAATCATCATCATCATCATCATCATCATCATCATAACCTACAGCATCGTCATTGTCACCATCCCCGTCATCAGCATCCTCCTCATCATCATCATAATCAGCATCAACATCATCAGCATCATCATCATCGTCGTCATCATCGTCCTCAGCATCATTGTCAGCATCATCATCATCAGCAGCAGCATCAGCATCATCATCATCATCATCATCATCAGCATCATCAACATCTCGTCGTCGTCACCATCTGCCACCGTACACGGGAGGCACGAGTGTGAGTGTTATCAGCTCCCTTGTTCGATCCGTTGGGGCCTCAGACATTAATCCTGAGGATTCCTTACAGGGCCCAGGCCCGAACATGCCAAATCTTCCAGGGCTTCTCGCGCGCCTCCTGGGGCGCGTCGCGGCTCCCCACATGAAAGGTTCGTGGCCCGGTGGGCTCACGAGCCAAGAGCACCCCGAGAGGCATTCCAGTCGGTCCAGGAGGACCCAGCATCGCCGAACGATCGGTCCAAGAGGTTCAGCGTGGCTCCCAAGAAGGCACCAAGAAGCTGCCGAGAGGCCCCAAGGGAGACCCGAGAGGCGTCCCAGGAGGGCCCCGAGGGGCAAGAATCCTAAAGTCCCCAGTGGATCTGCAATGTGTCGGGGGTCCTCGCCTTTCTGAGCTTCCGACGCTCCGAGGCAGCCCACGAGGCCCCCAAGAACGCCTCAAGGAGGCCCACGAGGCCCCCTAAGAGGGCACAAAGACGGCCCAGCACGGTCCCAAGACTGCCCAAGAGGGCCGCAAGACGGCCCAAGAGGCGCCCAGGAGGCGCCCAAGACGGCCCGAGCGGGCCCCAAGATGGCCCCGAGAAGGGCCCAAGAGGGGGTTCCGCCTGAAGATGTGCCCTGGAGGCTTCAAGAGGCCCCCGAGAGGTCCCACGAGGCCTCCAAGAGGGCCCCAGAGGGCCCAAAGGACCCCCAGGAGGCCCGAAAGAGGCTCTAAGAGGCCTCTCAACGGAGAAGCCTCCAACCTATCTCGAGGAGGCCTCCGAGAGTTCCCCCAAGATATACATTCAGTGGCACTTGCTTGGTACCACGTGGGGTATTCGAGTCATTCCCCAATCAGGATTTGCCTCTGTAGGGGTCCTAGCGAATTCATATGGTTAGGTGAGGTTTGCCACCGATTCCACAGCCCTATAGCCCCATAGCCAAATAGTCATATAGCTCTATAGCCCATTAGCTCTATAGTCCTATAGCACTATGACCTTATAGCCTTCTAGCCCTATAGCCCTATAGCCCTATGGCCTTATAACCCTATAGCCCCATTGCCCAATAGCACTATAACCCCATAGCCCTATAAACAGATAGCCCTATTGTTCTATATGCCTATAGCCCCATAGCCCTATAGCCCTTTAGCCCAATAGCCCTATAGCCCTATAGCCCTATAGCCCAATAGCCCTATAGCCCTATAGCCCTATGGTCCTATAGCCCTATAGCCCAATAGCCCTAAAAACTCATAGTCCTATGGCACTATAGCACTATAGCCCCATAGCCCCAGAGCACCATAGCCCCATAGCCCTGTAGCCCTACAGCCCTATAGCCCTATGGCCCTATATCACTATAGCCCTATAGCCCTTATAGACCTATAGCCCTATGGCCCTGTAGCTCTATGGTTATGTTGCCGTATAGCCCCATGGCCCCATCGCTCTATAGCCCAATAGCCCCATAGCCCTGTAGCCCTAAAAAGACGGTGATTCGGGTTTAGGCTTTCCGATATCATACATATAGGTTCACAGACGTACAAATGTACATGTATGCGCTTCCAGAAAAATATTTCAATGTTTGGGGGGGACCTCGACTCTTCGAGCTTCCGACGTTCCAACACGGTCCGGGAGGCCCCCAGGACCGTTCCAAGACGGCCTAGGAAGCCCCCAAAAGGGCCCCAAGGCGGCCCTAAGAGGGCTCCAGGACAGTCCCAGAGGCGCCCATCACAGCCCAAGAGGGCCCAAAGACAGCCCCAAGAAGAGCCTAAGAGGGGGAACACGAACCGAAAATCAGAGTCTTCCGCCCCAAGAGGCCTACAGGAGATCCCAAGGAGGCCCTAAGAGGCCCCCAAGACGCCCTCAGAGACCTCCAAGGGGCCCCATAAGACGCCTCAAGAGGCCCAAAAATGGCCCCCCAAAGGCCTCAAGACAGCCCCAAGAGGCCCACGAGAGGCCTCCCATGACATCCCAACGAACACCGTAGAGGCATCTGACCCACAATCCAGGAAAGGAGGCGGGATGTGCCGAAGGCTTTGAATACGAGTACACGACGTATTCATGTTCATACTGATCGTCACCATCGCCCCCATATTATCGTCATCATCATCATCATCATCATCATCATCATCATCATCATCATCATCATCATCATCATCATCATCAGTATCATCATCAGCAGCAGCAGCAGCATCGTCATGATCATCATCAGCAGCAGCATCATCAGCATCATCATCAGCAGCAGCATCATCATCAGCATCATCATCATCATCATCATCATCGTCATCGTCATCATCATCATCACCATCACCACCATCATCATCATCATCATCATCATCATCATCGTCATCATCACCCTTACCAGCATCATCATCATCATTGTCATCAGAATCATCATCATCATCACCATCGTCACTACCTTCATCCGCATCATAATCATGATCAGGATCAGCAGCATCATCATCACCATCAGCATTGTCATCATCAGCAGCATGATCATCGTCATCGTCAGAATCATCATCAGCAGCATAATCAGCAGCAGCATCAGCATAAGCATCAGCATAAGAATCAGCATCGGCATAAGCATCAGCATCATCAGCATCATCATTACCATCGCCATCATCAGCATCAGCATCATTATCAACATCATCACCGTCGTCATCATAATCCTCAGCAGCCGCATTCTCATCATAATCATCATACCCATAGCCATGTGTAGCATCGCCATCGTCATCCGAATCCGAACAGTCACCAGCAGCACCATTACCGACAAC